GAAGGCAACTATGGGGCCACTGAGGGTAGCAACTGGGCCACGTAGGACAGTGAGGGGGACACAAATGGCGACAGCGGGGCCACGAAGGGCACGCACATGGGGCCACAACGGGCGCGACTCCTGGGTGCCTGGGTGTCGGGAGCGCGGCGCTTGGGCAAATTGCAAGAAATTCCAACGCAAGGCCATTCTTCAGTAAGTTGCAAGCAAATCTCCAGCGAAACCGCGACTCCAGAGCGCAGGGAGAGCGATTCCTTAGTAAATTATAAGGAAGTCCCATGCGAGAGCGCGATTCCTGAATAAAATGCTAAGAAGTCTCGGGCGGGAGCGGGGGTCCTGGCTAAATTGTGAGGAAGTCTCAAGCGGGAGCCAATGTTGTTGTAACCCGGGGGCCACGGGGCCAGTTTGAGCAGAAAGACCTTCCCTGTCAAAGGACAGGGTGCGAGCGTCGAGGGGCACACTTTGATTGAGAAGAAACAGTATGCACCGGTGAGGGGGGATCAGCAGTAATTATTCTTCTGACTGCGAATTCAACAATAACAACAACAACAACAACAACAACAACAACAACAACAACAGCAGCAGCAGCAGCAGCAGCAGCAGCAGCAGCAGCAACAGCAACAACAACAATAACAACAACAACACATGCATGAGCAACATTATTCCGGACCCCGCCATCAGCACACAGACCTGCACACGCCACAACATGCCTGTAAGGACCACATGGGGCTTGCAAACCGCGAGGTGCCTCTGAGCGCCACGTGTCTGTGCACAACAGATACCACCAGCCTGCCCACACCAGCCTCTGATGACCTCCATTTCCCTTTCAGCCTCCTCCCCATTTTTTCTTCGTTGTGAACACACGAACGGCCCGCGAGCCCCGCGGCGTGCCTGTGAAACCCACACTGCGTGGGAGCCCGCCAGACGGCGAAGCAAACCAGACCGCACTAATATCAAATAGCTTGCGACCGCCATGTGTACGAGAAACACCATGCTGAACCCTGCAAGTGCCGAACATTCTTGCGATCGCCGCACTATGTTTACGAGCGCAGGCAGTGAGCCTGCGAGTGCCACATACCTGCGAACGCCTAAACATGCCTGTGGGCACCGCAGCGTGCCTGCGAGCGTCACGATATGCCTGCAGAGCACCAGTGGCCCGCGAGCACCACAACATGTCTCTGGGCACCTCAGGGTGCGCGTGACCACCACAAGGTCCTGAGAGCACCACAGAGATCCGGGAGTGAGCGCGGATGGCAGAGGAGGGGGCCATGCGAGCGTTATCTTTACGGGATGGGTTGTGCGTGCGCAGTCCCCGCGGAGGACCGTACAACCCCAAATAATGAAAAACAATATCCAATGACAACTGCAATCGAACGTGTTCCGACCGCGCTCGAGCCAAATCCGTAGAATCCCGGATTAGTGTCAAGACAAAGCGACAATCACACCCCAACCACACAAACGCACACACATAAGACTGCATCGGCGCTTCGTGCCCAGCGCCTTGGTCCTTGGAGTTTGGAATTCAGGCGAAGGGCAGGAAGTAAACCATAAAAAACAACGAGAACTCCTTGCTGCCCTTTTTCCGACACCGTTGAATGTCATTCGCTATCCTTCCCTCATGTTTCCTCTTCCGAGTCTCTATCCTCCGTTCCTCTAGCTCTGGTCGAACCAAGAGCTCTATGAGGTAATTGAATGTTACGGATAGCTCGCTGAAAGCTCAAAAGTTTTGAGACTTGTAGCATCCACATGTTCATTCCTACCCTGCGAATTCTTCCCCATCCGCAACTCTTCTTGCGGAAGCTCCTCCTTGGATCGGGCCACCCTGCTTCCAACTGCGGTCTCCCTGCGCGACCGGGTCACGGTTTGGAATGCTTCTGGGGGCATTTTGGGACCATCTTGGGCCGCCATGGGGCTCTTTTCGGGCCATCCTGGGGCCCTGTTGGGACGTTGCGGGGCTGTATTGGACTGCCTGGAAGCCCGTTCGAGCAATTTGGGGGCGATTTCCTGGCCTCTTGGGCTGCCTCGGATGCTCGGAAGACCGAAGAACAGAGCATTCCCAAAACCGTGCAAAAACCAATGGGGAGGCAATGTTATTTTGCGTTTCGAAGGCCTCTTGGGCTTGGGGGTCTTCTTCGGGTCGTCATCGGGCGTCTGGTTGGTATCTGAAGCCTCTTGGGGCCCTCGGCTCCTGACCAACTTAGGCCCGTTGCCTGGGCCCAGCAGGGGTTTCCAGGAGCTCCGGAAAGCCTGGGTGACCTTCTGCAGTGGCGTCAGGGGGGCCCCCAGGACCACCGATCTGGGGGGGTCCCGTTTTGGGGAGGGGGGGGGGGCTTCCTACCCCCCCTCCTGCTTGTGCACATATGTACAAGAAGAGGTATACACACGCACACATACATAAACACCTATATATATGTATATTGTACACAAGGATGCAGTGGCGCTTCGCGCCATGCACCTTGGTTCTTGAAGTTTGGTGTGCAGGCGGAACGGCAGGAAGGTCAAGCCGACAATTTAGCGATAACTCCTTGTTGCCTTTTCTGGCATCGCTGTTATAGTAATGTTATTCGTTATCCTTCCTCCATGCTTCTTTTTACTCATTCTCGCCATTCTCGCCATAACCTGCGCATTCTCCCCATCCTCCTCAGCTCTTTTTGCGGAGGCTCCTCCTTGGAGAGCCTCTGGGGGCCTCACAAAAGTTTTTCTGGCTTTCTTAAGGCCTTCTGGAGGCCTCCTGGGCGTGTTCTGGGGGCCTCTGGGGGCTTCCTCGGGCCACGCTGCCTCCAACCGCGGTCTCCCTGAACGACCGGGTCACGATTTGGAATGCTTCAGAGGGTGTCTTGCGGCCATCTTGGGCCGCCATGGGGCTCTCTTAGGGCCATCTTGGACCCCTGTTGTGCCGTTTTGGGGCTCTCATGGGCTGCCTGGAAGCCCGTTCGGATGGTTGTGGGGCGATTTGGGAGCCTCCCAGGCGGCTTCGGACGCCCAGAAGACCGCCGTCTTGGAGCGTCGGGAAGCCGAAAAGAGGAGAACTCAAAAATTCACCAGAAAACAAAAGAAAATCACTGATTTTTGCCTCTTGGGGCCTTCTTGGGAGTGCTCTTGAAGGCCTCGTGGGACGTTTTGGAACGATCTTGGGGGTATGACAGCTTCTTGGGGGTCGTCGTGAACTGAATTGGGGCTCTCTAGGGTCGTTTCGGGAGCGCGCTGGAACGCTCGGAACCCGTCTGGGGCCGTCTTCGGGCTCTCGGAGGCCCGGGGAGGGCCAAATTCGTTGTTAGGGGGAGGGAGGTTCTGGCATGACCAGCCCTGTAAAAATATAAGAATAGGAATATCGATATGTATGTATGCATGCATGCATGTATGTTTGTATGTATGCATGCATGTCTGGATGTAAGTAAGTAAAGTTGTATGTATGTATGTATGTATGTATGTATGTATGCATGCATGCATGGATGTATGTATGTATGTATGTATGTCTGTATGTATGTATGTATGTATGCGGGCGTGTGTACATGTGGGTACGTACGTCGACATGCATACATGCATATAGGTATGTATGCATGTAAGTATGTATGTGTGTGCATAGGTCTGCGTGTTTGTTTGTGATAGTGCGTGTGAATATGTTTATCTGAATGTATGTATGGCTGAATGTATGTATATACGTGTGTGTATATGGATGTGTGTATGTATGTACGTATGTACGTACGTACACACATATGCATGTCTGCATGCATGTATGCATGATTATATGTAGGTGGGTATGCATGTCCGTGTTTACGTTTGAATGCATAGGTATGTATGTATAGATGTATGTGTGTATGTATGTGGGCATGCCTGTATGCATGCAGGTATGCAGATGTATATGAGTGTATGTGAATGCATGCCTGTGTATGAGGGTGTGTGCGTGTAGCATGTATGTATGTATGTACGTATGGATGTATGTTTGTGTGTGTGCTTATGTATGTATGTATGCATGTGTGTATGTCTGTATGTGTGTATGTATGTATGTATGCATGTATGTATGTATGTATATATGTATGTATGTACGAATGGATGAATGTATGCATGTATGCATGCATGCATGCATGCATGTATGTATGTTATGTATGTACGTATGCACGTATGTACGTATGCACGTATGTACGTATGTACGTATGTATGTATGTATGTATGTATGTATGTATGTGTGTGTATGTATGTATGCATGTATGTATGTATGTATGGATGTATGGATGGATGTATGTATGTATGTATGTATGTATGTATGTATGTACTGCATGTTTGTATGGCTGTTTGCATGCATGTATGTATATATGTATGCATGTATGTATGTGTGTATGTGTGTATGCATGTATGTGTGTATAGATGTATGTATATATGCATGCATGCATGCATGTATGTATGTATGTATGTATGCATGTGTATATATATATATAGATGTATGTATGTATGTATGCATGTATGCATGCATGCATGCACGTACGTACGTACGTATGTATGTATGTATCTATGTATGTATGTATGTATGCATGCATGCATGCATGCATGCATGCATGTATGTATGCATGCATGCATGCATGTATGTACGTACGTACGTAGGTATGTATGTATGCACGCGCAAACGCAACAAATGTCCTCGGCTGGGCGGGGCGCGGCAATACGCCCCGTCGGCCCGCACCAGCGGACACAGCGGAGAGCGCAGAGCGCGAGAGGTCCGGAGATGAGAGGAAGTGGGAATGTGAGGCAGGGAGGCCGCGCCAGGGAAGCAGGCGAGGCAGAGCAGGGAGCACTTGGGGTGAGGAGCGAGCGCGCAGCGGAGCCCACGGGCGCGGGCGCACGAACGGGGCGACCCAAGGCGGACAGAGAGAGAGAGGCGGGAGGAGGGCACGCTTTTTCTGCAGTTTCCGGGGCACCGGGGAGAAATTGCAGCAGCGCGCTGGAGGGCGGCGCACGCACGCTTGTTCCTCGCCGACGCCGTGGACCACTCACGTGTGAACAGCCTTCGGGGCCCGCAGATCAGACCGCACAGATGCGCTGACCGACGCAGCCAGGAACGGCCGTGTTGTCCTGGATCTGGGGCAAACGGGGACAAGGAGCGCACACGAGAGCAGGCAGCACGCGACACCAAGAAGCCCTCGGGGACCTAAGCGACCCTGAGATCCGACGTCGCACAAAAACTGGCAACATCGCCAGACATCACGCCCCGACCCCCGGACCCCATCTTTCTGCGCCACTTGTCCGAGCCGGATCGATCTGCGAGGGTCCCGTGGCTCGAAATCGAGCGAAAACGCCCGGCATGAAAAATGTGCAACGCCAGGATCTCAGGGCACCCAGAAATACTCGGGGACCTAGACGAAATCTACCAGCCTGCGTCAGCGTGGCGGCGCACTGGCAGACTTCTCGGACCTGCCGCCCGCCAGGGCTGCTCGCCTCTGCACTCCAGTGGCGTGCGCTCCAGCGCAGCGCGCCGCGCGCGTGCACGGGTGGGCAAAGGGACCGATTGCTGGTCCAGGGTATCAGAAGTTGATGGCCCCCCCCCCACAGGTGCTGGCCACCATTCGGGAGGCTGCGGGCTGGCTGCGGGGCCTCTCAGCTCCCAGTCGAATCCGCCTGAGCAGGGGCACCCCCAAAGGCCTCCCCGGGGCCCCATTCTGCCCAGAGAAGAAAAAGCTCCCAACACAAACTTCCGACGCTCCGCGCGGATTTCTCAGACCTGCGCTGGATCCCCCTCCCTGGCGCGCGGAGCGCGCGAGGGTCGGCGCCTCAGGCGCCGCCAGAGGGGTTCAAGCGCAAATCCCAGAAATCCGCGCGGAGCTCCGAAAATTGATGGTCATACGATTTGCTTTTCCTCGAGGTGCCGCCTCCCTTCCCATCCCCGCTCTCGTGTGAACGAAAGGGAACGTGAGCAAAGGGGGGGCGCAAATCAGCTGCATGCAACTACAACCTGCTGGGTAAAAAAATGGAGACCGTGGGGATCGAGAAAGACACGGTTGGCCTCCCGTTAGGCCGCGGGGCCCCAGGACAATGTTGGAGTTCGGGCCGATTCGGGAATTTTAGATGCATTTCTCACCCCTGTTTAAAGGCCGAATGGGGTCAGCGTTTGAAAGTGCGATTCCGCCTGAAACTTGCTCAAAAAACTGTCAGATCGCCTTCTTAGGCGATTTGAAAATTTACCATGGCATCTGAAAATGGCGATATCGCCTGAGACTTCCTCACGAGGTATTTCCCGGCCGCTTTTCACGCCGCCAGAGAATGGCGATTTCGTTGGAGCTTTCCTAACGACCGCGCGTTTCGTCCACCCCTCCGTTCAGCCCACGAGCCCGGCTGGGAGTCATCTTGGGATCGATCGAAGGTCGAAGCTCGAATTTTTTTCGATTGGCGAAGACCCAGGGGTTGTTCCCTCGCATAGTGCCGATCACCACTTTTTGATCCAGGGGGTGGTAGTTCTCCTCGCGCCCGGACGCGCCAGGAGCGACTATGCATCGAGCAAGGTTCCCAGCGGCGGGGCAGACACCAGCTGCACGCAGCCGACTTCGTAATCCCCCATGTCCCCACCCTTCTCCTTGTGTCCTCACCGACGCTCCCTCCCCGGCTCTCCCACCCTTCCCATTCCCGCTCCTCCTCCCCCCCACTCCCTCCCCCCCTCTCCCACCCTTTCCGCTCGAGTGTGCTGTCTCCGGTGAGCAGGTAACTGAAGAGGGGGAGGGGATCGCGAGTGGCACTTGGGGGACGGTGCTGCCCATTCTCTGACGGCTGCCCCCGCGTGCGAGCTGGGCAGGGGCGATGACTCTGCCCTTCGCCCGTCCCTTCTCGCCAAGCTGGCAGAATTTAGGCAACGAGCCCGAGCCCATCGGTAGCGAGCGAGCGAAGAAGAAGAAGAAGAAGAAGAAGAAAGACTCCGAGGGAAGACAGGTGACATCACAGGCGGAGTTCGGAGGAGAACGGAACATACTCCAGAAATGAAAATAGTCACACGTCGTCCCCAGATTACCTTTTGTCTGATTCTGAATACTCCCCCTGTAGAGGGACCTGCCCGACTTGACCCTAGTCGTTTCCTGACGGCCCTGGGGCCCAGAGGGGGCCCCCCCGGAGCCCCGGCCTGGCCACAAAAGTTCCAGGACCCTTTTCCGATCGGAGACCCTTCCTCTTCCTTCCGCTACATGCAGGAGTGACCCTAGGCGGTAGTGACCTTCTGGGCGGCGCGAACACGGGGGCAAGGGGGAGGGGGGAGGCTTCTTCGAAGGAGGCTGCCTCTGAGAAGGCACAGGCCTTACATCTCTAGACAAGGCCCCCTTCTAAGAAGCAGGGGGGCTTCTGAGAAACCTTCCAACCTCCCCCCCTTGCCCCCCCCCCCCCTTGGCGTGTGGCCGACCTTCGGTGCGCGGCTCCCGGAAGCCGCAGGGGGCCCGAATCCGAGCGCGCAGCATCTGGTGCCGCCGGGACCCCCCGTGGGCCCGCCCGCACCGGAGTTCACTCAAGGGGCCACTCGGGTGTCGGGGAAGCCGTTGAGCAGCACGCACGCGCAACATCTGAGCGACGATCAAAAACAGGTCTCACGGGAGATGACGTAGCGACCTTACGCCGCAGCTTACGCGGGCCGCCAGCGCGGCACGCTGCGTTGGAGACGAGGGTGCCTACGCGCGACCTTACGTGGGCAGCTTACGCGCCAATGTCGGCGCAGACGACCCCGTTTTCTTTGCTTCGCTCACATGCGTTGACATCCTCTCCCCTGCCCCCGAGTGCAACATTGGTTTTGGACCTTCCGGTCCTGAGTGTCCGAGCGGTGATGCGTCAGCGTGCCCGGGGAAACCAAAACCCCATCGACCCCCAGACGCTAACCGACGCCATAGACAGCACTGCGAGGGTACAGAAGGCTCCCATGATTTGCTACCGAACGACACCCGTGCGGCACGCTCCCCCTGGCGGCGCGCACAAGGGGGTGGAGCGAGGGGGTAGGGCTTCTTAGAAGGAGGCCGCCTCTTAGAAGGCGCGGGCCTCACATCTGTAGATCAGGCCCGCGCCTTCTAAGAAGCAGGGGTGCTTCTGAGAAGCCCCCCCGCCTCCCCCCGCCCCCCTCTGCGTGCGGCACGCTCCCCTCCTCCCGCTTCAGCTGCCGCAGGGCGTGGACCCCGCGCTTGGCACCCAGCCGGCCGCCGTCGAAGACCGCGAGCGGCTCCACGCCGGCGGCCCGAAGCGCCCGGCAGACCTGCGACGGAGCCACCGTGCGGCTCCTTCTTCCTCCCGCCCACATCGTCCTCCTCCTGCTCCTCCTCCTCCTCGTCCTCCTCCTGCTCCTCCTCCTCCTCCTGCTCCTCCTCCTCCTCCTCCACCTAGTACTCCTCCACAGCATCAGCAGCAGCAGCAGCAGCAGCAGCATCAGCATCAGCATCAGCATCAGCATCATCATCATCATCATCATCATCATCATCATCATCATCAGAAGCATCAGCATCAGCATCAACATCAGCATCATCATCAATCCTCATCATCCTCATCAGCATCATCAGCATTTCCATAATGATCATCATTATCATAATCATCATCACCATCACCATCATCATCAGCATCATCATATCATCATCATCATCATCATCATCATCATCATCATCATCATCATCATCATCATCATCATCATCAGCATCACTACCATCATCAACAGCATCATCATCACCATCATCATCATCGGCAGCATCATCATCAGCAGCATCATCCTCATCATTATCATTCTCAGCATCATCAGCATAAGCATCAGCATCAGCATTAGCATCATCATCAGCATCAGCATCACCATCATCATCAGCAGCGGCATCAGCATCAGCATCAGCATCAGCAGCATCGGCATCAGCATCATCATCGTCAACATCATCATCGTCATGATGATCCTCCACCTTCTCCTCATCCTCGTCGTCATCCATATCCTCATCCTCTCCTCCTCCCCCTCCCCCACCTCGTCCTTCTCCTCCTCCTCATACCCCTCAAAGGACTCGTCCTCCTCCACCCTGCTCCTCTCTATCCCTTCCTCCTCCTCCTCCTCCTCCTCATCATCATCCGCATCCTTATCCTCATCCGTATCCTCATCCTCTGCTCCTCCTTCTTCTCCTCATCATCCTCCTCGTCCTCATCATCACCACTATCATCATGGGCATCGACACCATCAGCAGCATCAGCATCATTAGTATCATCATCATCAGCAACATCATCATAATCATCAGCATCATCACCAGCATCCTCATCCTCATCATCATCCTCGTCGTCGGCAGCAGCATCAGCATCAACATAACCACCACCACCACCATCATAGCATCACCATCACCATCACCATCATCATCATCAGCAGCATCATCATCATCAGCATCATTATCATCATAATCGTCACCATCATCGTATATCATCGTTGTGGTCGTAATCAGCATCAGCATCAGCATCGGCATCAACATCATAATCGTCGTCAGCAACAGCATCATCATCGCAGTCAACGTCATCATCATCACCATCATCATCCTCATCATCCTCATCATCGTCAGCATCATCATCCTCATCATCGTCAGCATCATCACCAGCTGCAAAATCATCGTCAGCATCATCGTCCTCATCATCAGCATCATCCTCATCCTCCTCCTCACCAGCATCATCAGTATCCCCAGCCGCATCCACATCCCATTTCTCATCATTAACCTGATTACCAGCATCAGTATCATACTCATCATCATCATCATCATCATCATCATCATCATCATCATCATCATCATCATTTCCATCGTCATCCTCATCCTCATCCTAATTATCATCATCACACCATCAGCATCATCATCAGCATCATTATCATCGACCTCATCATCATCAGCGTCGTCGTCATCGCCATCATCGCCATCATCGTCACCATCATCCAAACCAGCATCATCATCATCATCACCCCTATCATCCTCATCACCACCAGCATCACAATCATCTACATGGCTTCGTGATCATCATCACCAGCATCATTATCACCACCATCAGCATCAGCATCATCAACATCCTCATCCGAACCCTCATCACCAGCATTAGTATTAGCATCATCATCATCATCATCAGCATCATCATCATCATCAGCGTCGTCGTCATCGTCATCGTCATCGTCATCGTCATCATCATCATCATCATCATCATCATCGACACAGTCATCATCATCACCACCATCATCATCATCACTATAATCATCATCCTCATCCTCATGGTCGTCATCATCATGATAATCGTCATTATCGTTGTCATCATCATCATCACCATCATAGCCATCACCATGATCATCATCCTCCTCATCATCATCAGTATCATCTTCATCATTATCACTGGCATCGTAATCATCATCATCATCATCATCATCATCATCATCATCATCATCATCGTCATCATCATCATCATCATCATCATCATCAGAGAATGGATAAATTCGGCTTGTGTTCAGGATTCGGTTTTCTGCTATCTATGGGGCCAACGGGACCAGGCGGACAGCGACGACGACGACGAGGGCGACGAGGACGAGGGGGAGGAGGAAGAAGTCGACGAGGATGTGGAGGGCTAGCACCCCCATCCGTCCTATCGACCCAATCCAAGAGCAAGGGGAAAAAGTAGAAACGCATCGGAATCACATTGGAGCCATATTGACACGATCTTGGGGCAATATCGAAGCCGTCTCGGACTCATGGGGTCGTCCTGGGGCCACCTCGGAATAAAATCGGGGTCGCGCGGTAGACTTAGTTCAGTCGGAAGACAATAGGTTTGTCTCGGTGTTCTCTTGGGGCCGCAGGGCTGGTCTGGGGTCATATTGGGGCCATTGCTTAGCAGGGGTGGGCATCTTGGGGCGACAGGGGTAATCTCGTGATCCTTTCCAGAACCCCTGTTGGGTCCATCTTGGAATCATCTTTCTGTTGCTGCCTCTCTCGTTGTTGTTGCCACAGATGTTGCTGTTACTGCTGGCGTTGATACTGCTGGCGCTGCCTGGGCTGCCCGTGGTGATGGTGCTGGTGCTGTGCTAAATTTCTGGTCCTCTTGGAGCCTTCTTGTGGCCCTCTTGTGGCCCTCGTGGGCCTCTTGGGTCCCTGCGAGGGCCTTCTGAGGGTCCTTAAGACGCTACCGAGAGGGCCAAGAATTCAACGCACACTTAACACAAACCGCCTCCTTATTGGAGAGCGTCCTGTGTTAAATTGGGGTTACAAATTGTGACCCTCTTGGATCGCCATCTTGGGGCCCTCTTGGGGCCCTCCTGGGTCCTGTTGGGCCCCTGCGGGAGCCCTCTGAGGGCCTGAAGAGGCCTCCAGGAGGGCCAAGACTTCAACACACATTTAAGACAAACCACCTCCTTATTGGAGAGCGTCTTGTGTTAAACGTATGTTAAATTTCGTGCCCTCTCAGAGCAGAAGAAAAAAACAAGAAGGCCCAAGAGAGACCCGAGAAGGCCCCAAAAGAGGTGTTTGTTTAGCTTCCACGCGGGGGGTCACCACGTATCCTCTGTTTGTGCAAATGCTTCCTCGTGCATGGCTTGGCTTGAGGCTCGGAGGGCATTCAGGAGGGTTCCAACCCGGAGTATTTAAAGGCTTCGCGTGAGCTTCGAGTGCGATTGCGCTGCTCCAAGACGGCTCCGAGACGGCTCCAGAGTGCTCCAAGACGCTCACAACGGCCTCAAGACGACCAAAGAGACCCCGCAGACGCCCCTGGGGGGCTCCAAGAGGACCCCCTCGGGGGCTGCACGAAACCAGAACCATAGTTTTTCTTTGGGTTTTCTCGCGGATTTTAGCGTTCTCGCTTTTTCTCGGTTCCAGTGCTCCAAGACGGCCCAAGAGGCCGCCAGGATCGCCCCAAGACGGCCTAAGAGGCCACCAAAGAGGGCTCCAAGACGACCCAAGATAGCACCGAGACGACCCATGAGGCCCACAATGCGGCCCTAATAGTCCCCAAGAGCGGCTCCAAGAAGGGACCCAGGGGGCCACCGGAACTCTTTTGAAGCGGTGTGGGGGCATGCGGAGAGCCTTCGCAAGTAGACGCGGCGCCGGGGTCACCATGTATCCGAACACTGTACGAATTCGTACATGTCTGAGACGATCGCCGAGCCTCTTGGGAGCCCTTTTGGTAGCCTCTTGGGGCCTGCTGGGGTTCTTGGAGCATGATAAGGGGCCTCTTGGGCGCCTCTCGAGGTCTGTTGAAATTCTTGGGGGCTTCTTAGGGCTTCTTGGGGGGCCCTTTGAGGGCCTCTTGGGGGCCTGCTGGGGCCCCAAGAGGGCCCCGAGAAGACTCAAAGGGTTCCGAAAAAGGTCCGGGTCCGCCGGAGATGCTGCAGCACCATTTCTGGGTGGCCCAGAGACCTCTCGGGGCCTTCTTGGAGCTCTCTTGGGGGGCTCCAGGACGGTTTGGGAGCGCTCAGAGAGCCCTACGAGGGCCCCGAGAAAACTCCAAGGTCACGAAAAGCCTCCGTGCCACCCGGAGATGGCGCAGCACCATCTCCGGGTGACACGGAGACCTCTCGGAGCCCTCTTGGAGCTTTCTTGGGGGCTCCAAGACGGTGGTGGGGAGGGCGGGAAGGTGGGGGGGGATCTCCTGGAGATGCGGACGCAGAGGAGGGGGCGGCTTCTGGTGGCCTGACGGGGGCCTCTCGGGCACCTTTTGAGGTCAGTTGGGGTTTCTTGGGGGCCTCTCAGGGCCTCCTGGGGTCCTGTGGAAAACTTGAGGCGTCTTGGAAGCTTCTCGTGGTTGTCGTGGTACCCTCTCGGGGGCCCAGAAGCGATGTTGTTGTTGCTGCTGTTGTTGTTGCTGCTGCTGGTGTTGTAGTTGTTGCATGTGTAGCTGTAGTTGTATGGGTCGCTGTAGTTATTGCTGCTCTTGTCGTCGTTGTTGTCGTTTGTTGTAGTTGTAGCTGTTGTTGCTGCTGATGTTGTTGTTGTCGTTGCTGTTGTGGTTGCTGTTGTTGTTGGTTGGTGTTGTTGTTGAATGGTGATGTTTCTTGGTGTTGTTGTTGTTGGTGCTGTTATTGCTGTTGTTGTTGCTGCTGCTGTTGCTGATGTTATTGTCGTTGTTGTCGTCGGCTGTTGCGATTCACTGTCGTGCTATACGCCGTCATTTCACATGTAGACGCGCACGCCATCAAACAAAAACACATTGCACCACATAGATTGCACCAAACCGATTGTACCACGTAGGTTGCGCACCACCACATCTTTTGCACCACATAGG